CCAGAACTGTAAGCCAAAGGCTTACGGATTCCCCAGCTGTTATAAAAACCAGAACTGTAAGCCAAAGGTTAAATAATACTTCCCGCTGCTATACAAACCAAAACTGTAAGCCAAATTCCCAATAATACTTCCCGCTGCTAAACAAACCAGAACTGTAAGCCAAAGGCTAACTTATACTTCCGGCTTCTATACAAACCAGAACTGTGGGCCAAAGGCTAACTAATACTTCCCGCTGCTATACAAACCAGAAATGTAAGTCAAAGGCTAACTAATACCTTTGGCTTACAGTTCTTGTTTGTATTGTAGCGGGGGTATTATTTAGCCTTTAGCTTACAGTTCTGGTTTGTATAGCAGCGGTGATATTAGTTAGCCTTTGGCATTTTGCTTATTCAGAAGTTATTTAAAGTTTTTAAAATATTTGACCCCTGTTACCTTGAACATAGGTGAAAGTAATTTAATTGAACAAACTTTTTAGCCCTTCATTCCAGCATGTTACTGGCTTAATATCATCGCCCTAGGCCTCTTGTTTATTCAGAAGAAGTTGTTAAAATGTTTTGAACATATTTGACCCCTGTGACCTTGAATATAAATCAAGGTCATTTATTTGAACAAACTTGGTAGTCCTTAATCCAAGCATGTTACTGGCTAAATTTAAGCACCCTATGCCTCTTGCTCTTGGTTATTCAGGAGAAGTTCTTTAAATGTTTTAAACATATTCGACGCCTGTGACCTTGAATATAAGTCAAGGTCATTTATATGATCAAACTTGGTATCCCTTTATTTCGGCATTTTACTGGCCAACTATCATCACCCTAGGCCTCTTGGTTATGAAGAACAAGCTGTTTAAAGTAAAATATTGAGGCCGGATGACGGACGGACGGACGGACGACGGACCATGGCATAAGCTTACTTGGCCCTTTGGGCCAGGTGAGCTAAAAACTCATTAAACAAGAGGCCCAAGAGGGCCTGTATCGCTCACCTGATTATTTAAACAGTCATAGCAAAATATTCTCATTAAATATTATATTGCACTAAAAATATTTCACTTGCAAACTTTGTTGACTCCATCAGTTGAAACTACCAGCCAAATATTATTATATGATTCTATGCTTTTTGATTCTTCTTTCAAGTTGCTTGACGTATTTTCCCTGTGACCTTGTAAGTAGGTCAATATCATTTTCCTTCTCAAATTGGTTAGCTCCATTCCAAAATGCTAAAAGCCAAATCTTATGAATCCATTCCTTCTAGTTCTTGAGAACAAATCCTTTAAAATGTTGTTGACCTCTGTGACCTCTTAAGTAGGTTGAGGTCATTTTCATTCGTAAACCTTGGTGAGCTCTATCCCAGGAAATCACCAGCCAAATATTATAAATTTGTTGAATTTTAATTCTTCAGAAGAAGTAGTTTGAACCGTTTGACATATTTGAACACTGTGACCTTAAAAGTAGGTCAAGGTCATTTTCATTCTCAAACTTTGTTGGGCTCTTTCCCAGAAAGCTACAAGCCAACCTTTTAGGTTCTATAACTTTCAGTTCTTCAGAAGTCGTTTGAAGCATTTGACATATTTGACTGCTGTGACCTTGATAGTAAGTCAAACTAATTTTCATTCTCAAACTTTGTTGGGCTCTATCCCACGATGCCACCAGCCAAATATGAAGATTCTATACCTTTCAGTTCTTCAGAAGAAGTCAGTTTTAACATTCGACATATTTGACCGCTGTGACCTTGAAAGTAGGTCAAGGTTATTTTCGTCTCAAACTTTGTTGGGCTCCATCCCAGGAAGCCACCAGCCAAATATGAAGATTCTATACCTTTTAGTTCTTCAGAAGAGGTCGGTTTTAGCATTTGACATATTTGACCACTGTGACCTTGAAAGTAGGTCAAGGTCACAGGTGAGCTAAAAACAAGTCTAATATTGAGAAATGTACTACATTTGTGTACAACAAACTGGAAGCATTAACTGTGGTTCGAGGAAATCTGAATATCAACGTGTTACCTCCGCCAACACAATCTGAATATCGATGTGATATAATGACATTGATTGGTAGCTTGGTCTCCAAAGCCAGGGTTTATTTAGGAAATATACAACAAAACAAACAGTTTGATATTAAGGATTTTTAATTTCTTGATACAGTAACAACTGATCCCACACAACTTATAATTGAGAAATTCCGTTAATTAACCATGACAAATATTCATTTGGTTCTTAACAATTAAATGTGTTACATTCCATGCATCAGACTTAACAATATTTACCCCGTTAAAGAAACAATGTATAACAATCACACAAGCATTCTATTCCAAAATCTCTTCTACAGGAAGTTATGTCGATGAATGATGACTTCCCTAAATGTTGTTCCTCTTCATTTTCTGTGTGATTTATTTTGGAAAAGTCACACAACTTACCAGATTTCCATTGTAAACATCTGACCAGGATGAGTGCCAGACTCTCAAAATTTGTTAATGTTTAGCTGCCAAAGTATGGTGTCCCTATTACACTGTAACAAGGTAATGATGAAATGTTACTACAGTAGCAGCCAAAGTATGGTGTCCCTATTACACTGTAACAAGGTAATGATGAAATGTTACTACAGTAGCTGCCAAAGTATGGTGTCCCTATTACACTGTAACAAGGTAATGACGAAAAAATGTTACTACAGTAGCTCATTTAATTCATCTTTAAAATTTATGATGTCAATATAAACAATGTTTCATTAAACAAGAGTTTTAATACAATTGTTCTTTGTTGTTGTAATATGACATAAAAAAATAGTAAATATGAAGCCTGTATGGTTTTAACCTGTAAATTCACAAATAAAATGATGTTGGGGAGTCACCAACATGTATTTACCGTTAGCTGTAGGAAAACAGACTAGGCGTTTACAAGTCTCTTCCAATCGGTATACCAGTTATAAAGAATATTTACCATTAGCTGTAGGAAAACAGACTAGGCGTTTACAAGTCTCTTCCAATCGGTATACCAGTTATAAAGAATATTTACCGTTAGCTGTAGGAAAACAGACTAGGCGTTTACAAGTCTCTTCCAATCGGTATACCAGTTATAAAGAATATTTACCGTTAGCTGTAGGAAAACAGACTAGGCGTTTACAAGTCTCTTCCAATCGGTATACCAGTTATAAAGAATATTTACCGTTAGCTGTAGGAAAACAGACTAGGCGTTTACAAGTCTCTTCCAATCGGTATACCAGTTATAAAGAATATTTACCGTTAGCTGTAGGAAAACAGACTAGGCGTTTACAAGTCTCTTCCAATCGGTATACCAGTTATAAAGAATATTTACCGTTAGCTGTAGGAAAACAGACTAGGCGTTTACAAGTCTCTTCCAATCGGTATACCAGTTATAAAGAATATTTACCGTTAGCTGTAGGAAAACAGACTAGGCGTTTACAAGTCTCTTCCAATCGGTATACCAGTTATAAAGAATATTTACCGTTAGCTGTAGGAAAACAGACTAGGCGTTTACAAGTCTCTTCCAATCGGTATACCAGTTATAAAGAATATTTACCGTTAGCTGTAGGAAAACAGACTAGGCGTTTACAAGTCTCTTCCAATCGGTATACCAGTTATAAAGAATATTTACCGTTAGCTGTAGGAAAACAGACTAGGCGTTTACAAGTCTCTTCCAATCGGTATACCAGTTATAAAGAATATTTACCATTAGCTGTAGGAAAACAGACTAGGCGTTTACAAGTCTCTTCCAATCGGTATACCAGTTATAAAGAATATTTACCATTAGCTGTAGGAAAACAGACTAGGCGTTTACAAGTCTCTTCCAATCGGTATACCAGTTATAAAGTATATTTACCATTAGCTGTAGGAAAACAGACTAGGCGTTTACAAGTCTCTTCCAATCGGTATACCAGTTATATGCAAAAGTGCTTTTTTCCTATGTAATTATAATAAAATGTAACCCCTCTAAAGGTGAATATCAGGGTTAACACAGGATAGCGAAATTCACATTTTTACCAAAACACCACGATCGTTTCTGACCATGAAGAGCACTATATTATATATCTTGGTCTGAGGAAGATTGCTAAAATGTTTAGTCTCAACCCTCAGGCTCCTGGGGATGATATCCCTATAAAACACAATTTTTGCATGTCTTTTGCCACTGAAGCTTCCTGCAAATCATCTTTTTGAAATTGCTTTAAATTTGCTGTTTTTGAGAAATGTTCAAAATGTAAGTTGTTTACAGATTCACAATGACGAATAAAAGGCGATAGCAATAGGTCACATGGGACTGAATTGTCTCAGGTGACCTATATATGACATCACTAAAGGTAAGATGAAAATAACATATTACAAAACTTATATGTGACAACACATTTCACATTTTAAAAGTATCCTTCATAAAAGAATAAATTGAAATTCTCTTCATCTAAAAAACCTTCGGCATATTTCAGAGTCTTGAGATGTCGCAAGGAAGTTGTTACTGTTATTATTGGTCTTCATGGTTTAGGAAGATTCTTCTATTACTCATCATCACTGCTGTCTGTTTCATCCTCATCCTTTGGAGGAGTATTAATGATCTTTGTATAGGTGCTGCCCTCTATGTTGACAATCTGGTCACAGCTGAAGGTGACATTGAGACGGCGGCGGCGGTGATAGCGTCGAGTCGGATGGAGCATAAATTCCTCTGTCACCGATTCTCCAGGTCTGATGGCTCTCCTAGGGGACAAACAAATATCAGTTGACAGGATCTCAATGTTTGTTTTTTTCATTTATACTACATACAATCAATATATTCAGTAAGACACTGATATTCATTCAACTACAAAATCTGTGATTAAATATATCAGAAAACTATCGTTTTATACCATTAATTAAGCCATATGAAATTTTGATAGCATGAACAAAGGCCATATTACTTTCTAAAGCATGGTGCAAGGGCCATTTTATGGCATAACCCAAGGTCATGTGACATCTAATAACATGGCCTAAGGTCATTTGACAATTAAGAGAATGGCCCAAGGACAACAAGATAACGCAAAGCATGACATTATCCCCCACACCCCGCTGTTTAAAAGAAAGACACACAATCATATAATTATATGTTAACATTACAATAACTGGTATTAACTCCATTCCACCACTGTTACTGATATTTTGATTTAGATCATCTCTTACAAAACACTGATGACTTTCCCATCAAAAAAGGCTTGATAAGAGCACTAGCTTCATAAGTACAAAACTTCCTGCATACATCTTGAATGCAAACAGCTCCAATAGAGTGCTAGATTGACAAGTGTACAAGTTAATTAAATTTCAATTTGTTATTTTTAACAGTTTTGAGATCATGCTACAGAAACCTCAAATTTCATATTTTTGCCTTATTCCATGGCAACAGAAAAAGAAAAAACATATCCAAAATGAGAACTCCTGCAGTAACAAAATGCACCAAGAGAGTGCTAGCTTTTATAAAGTGTACAAAGTTTCAGGCAGTTCTTGAACAATTTTGTTGCCATGCTCTGGAAACCGTGAAATTTGTAATTTTGCCTAACTAGAGAGATAGTATGATAAGTGGACAAAGTTTCAGGTACATGTAGTTATCTTGAAAGGTTTTGACATTTTACTAAACAAGAGGCCCAATGGGCCTGCATCGCTCACCTGGTATTAATCTTACACTTGTAACCTCAAAAGAAATAAAGCTACAGGCAAAATATCAATATTTATGACTATAAGTCTTTCAAAACAACCTGTTAAAAGAGGCCAAAACATTTCACCCCTGTGACCTTGAAAGTCGAACAAGGTCATTACATTAATTTTATAGCCCTTCATCTCAGGATGCAACTTGCAAAATAACACCACTCTATCCTTTTTTTTTTTTGAGAGTAGGTCATTTAAATGTTTATACATATTTGACCAAATGTGACTTTCAAAGTGGGTCAAGGTCATTCATTTGAACAAACTTGGTAGTCCTCTCATCCCAGCAATTGCTACATGCCCACTATCAGTACCATTGGCCTTTTGGTTATTAGGAAGAAGTCGTTTTAACATTTTTACGACATTTGACCCCTGTGACCTTGAAAGAGGGTCAATGTCATTCATTTGAACAAACTTGGTTGTCCTTCATTCCAGGATGCTACAGGCTCAATATCAGTACCCTGGTACTTTTTGTTATTGAGAAGAAGTTGTTGGAAGATTTTAAGATATTTGACCCCTGTGACCTTGAAAGTGGATCAAGGTCATTCATTTGAACAAACTTGGTAGTCCTTCATCCCAGCAATTGCTACATGCCCAATCTCAGTACCCTTGGCCTTTTGGTTATTGAGAAGAAGTTGTTTGAAGATTTTAATACATTTGACCACTAAGACCTTGAAAATTGGTCAAGGTCATTCATTTGAACAAATTTGGTAGCTATTCATGCCAGCATGCTACAGGTCCAATATCAGTACCCTGGGCCTTTTGGTTATTAGGAGGAAGTCGTTTGAACATTTTTCGACATTTGACCCCTGTGACCTTGAAAGTGGGTCAAGGTCATTCATTTGAACAAACTTGGTTGCCCTTTATTCCAGCATGCTACAGGCCTAATATCAGTACCCTTGGCCTTTTGGTTATTGAGAAGAAGTTGTTTGAAGATTTTAATACATTTGACCACTAAGACCTTGAAAATTGGTCAAGGTCATTCATTTGAACAAATTTGGTAGCTATTCATGCCAGCATGCTACAGGTCCAATATCAGTACCCTGGGCCTTTTGGTTATTAGGAGGAAGTCGTTTGAACATTTTTCGACATTTGACCCCTGTGACCTTGAAAGTGGGTCAAGGTCATTCATTTGAACAAACTTGGTTGCCCTTTATTCCAGCATGCTACAGGCCTAATATCAGTACCCTGGGCCTTTTGGTTATTGAGAAGAAGTGGTTTGAACATTTTACGACAGTTGACCCCTGTGACCTTGAAAGTGGTCAAGGGCATTCATTTTAACAAAATTGGTAGCCCTTCATCCCAGCATGCTACTGGCCAAATATCATTGCCCTAGACCTTTTGGTTATTGAGAAGGAGTAGTTTAGAGCAAAATATTGACGACAGACGCCGCACCACAGCATAAGCTCACTTGGCCCTTGGTGAGCTAAAAATGAGAAATCCTCCATAGCAAAAGGCACTACCTGAATGCAAGCTTGATAGTATATACAAAGTTTCAGGTAGTTTTCTTGAATGGTTTTGGATGATCTATACAACTGAAATTTGTAATTTGGCCTATCTGTTTCCATGGTAGCACTACTAGCTAGAGTACTAGCTTGATAACTGTACAAAATTTTGAGTAGTTATCTTGAACTGTTTCAGAGCTGTGGTCTGGAAAAAACCAATCTGTAATTTGGCCTATTTGTTTCCATGGTAAAGTATTTAAATGGAGAATTTCTCCATAGCAAAAGGCACTACTAGAGCACTAGCTTGATAACTGTACACAGTTTTGAGTAGTTATCTTGAATTGTTTCAGAACCCATGCACAGACGCACAGACGGATGGACAGACGGACGGATGGAGCCCGGTTTAATATCCCCCATAAACGCGTTTTTGCGGGGGATAATTATTCATATAGATCTTGGCCAAAATAAGGGACTTTCGTAGTTGGTCAGTAACACATTTTGTAATATTCCAAAGCTTGCAATGTGTATAACAATTAAGTGGTAAAATCTTCCATGATCCCTGATTTACAGAGATGAAGACTCGAGCAGGTCACACTTAAACATGTTCCACAAGTGGGTCACACTTAAACATATTCCACAAGACCAGTTATTTATATGGCTGACAAGAACTCTTCAGCACAGTCTATCAAAATAGAATTACATTTAGCAAATAAGTGTGATTTTTTTTAGCATGGCCCTGGACAACTGAATTGTGTATAGCAGATCAGTGAATTTTTTAACCTAATTATAGGAGTAGAATAACAGGAACTGATATATTAACAGTACTAGCTTGACCACTGAAGTTTTCATATCTTGGCAAGTCACAGGCAATAGCGACCATCTCATATCCTGAAATTATTTAAATCGGTTTTTAGATATTAAACTATATTTGCTTTGTATTACTCCAACAAAGCATCAGCAAAGTTTGCCAAAAGTACTTAAGTCATAAAATTGTTTTTGTCTCCTAACAGAACCTATCAGAGGTAATTGCAGCTATCTTGAATTGTTTTGGAGAGCTGTAAACGTACTTGACAGGTATGGTGAAACCTTTTTGTATGAGGCCATTTCCAGCATCGCAGGAAAACACGCCATGTGTCAGAGTGAGGCTTGTTGTGTTCTTGAATTCCACCTTGCCACCAGTATCAGTCATGTATGGAGTAGCTGATGGGATCTGTAACCATAGCAACAGAAGCAATGATAGTGTTTACCATAGGAAATTTCAACAAGTGGCCCAAAGGGCCTGTATTGCGCACCTGGATATTTAAGAAGTCATAGAAAAATATTCTCACTAAATATCATACTGTACCTCTAAGCAACACCCTTACATTAATGGGTGTCCCATCCATACAGGAAGGGACAGAAATGGAAGGATTTAAAAGATTAACCTTATGTTCCGTTATTTAGGGGGGGGGGGGGGGGGGGCCACACTCTCCGTTTATACAAAATTGAGTCCCTTTGCCCAAGGATGCTCTTGACCAAATTCATTAAAAATATCTCCCACCAAACAAAAGGAGAAGCATTTTAAAGATTTACCTCAAGTTCCCCCTATTTGGCCCCGCCTCTCTGACTATTTAAAATTAAGTTCCCTTTGCCCAAGGATGCTCTAGACTAAATTTGGTTACAATCCCTCAAATCAAACAGAAGGAGAAGAATTTAAAACATTTATTACTATGTTCCTCCTATTGGGCCCTGCCCTGCCCCAAGGTGGAGTGTGTGGGGGGGGAGGGGAGGGGGGGCATATCCTCGGTTTGTACAGAATTTAGTCCCCTTTGCCAAGGATGCTCCAGGCCAAATTTAGTCAAAATCCACTGAGCCGTTCGGGACAAATTTGACGGATGAACGGACGACAGTTGCCATGCAACCCCCATAATGTTGTACTTACATCAACAGTAAGGTCTGGTGTACTCAACATGAAGACCTCAGAGAGAACATGCATGCGGCCGTTGGACACATTCTTAGCATTAACATAGATCTGAAACCTTCCTTCTGGATTTCTCTTCTTCTCATACTCCTCTGCTGGTATGCTCATGGTGACAGTTTCCGCTAAAAAAGGGCAAAACAGAATTATGCTTTTTATGATCCTATTTTGTTTAAATATTTCTATGAACCTTTCCCAACAGATCATCTATAAGGATACAGTCAAGGGAAATACTTTTGTCCTTTAAGTAATAAAGACCCAATAGACTAGGGAAAATCTTGTCTCCCTAGGAATAATGAGCAAATAGACAAGGGAAATCTGTTTTTCCTTTTTTTGTATGTAGTAAACAGGGTTTTTTTTGTTTTTTTTTATTGCCCCACAGCATTTTTGGAATACTGCCAGGGTCGGGGCCCTGGATTCAATATCCTTACAAAAAATGTCCTCATGCAAGCAGGCTCTCATTCATTCATTCTTTCATTCAGTCGTTTAATTATTCATTCAATTGTTTGCTTATTCATTCATTTATTTCTTTTCATTTCATCCTTCCTTTTACATTTATTCCATGTTTACATTCATTCATACATTTCATCTATTTATTCATATATTTTGAAGTTTTCTCATTCATGTTATATACAAAGATACTTTATAATACTTAGTAAATGTACTGAGGCATGACACAGATGAAGCTGGAAGGAGAGACCACTCTACTACCATGTATTACATATTATTCAAATGTATTTCTCAAAAAAGTAGCTACCCCTGCTGATCTAGATGTATAATTCCTAAACACGCATGTATATCCCCATTCTCGTTCTCATATNNCCCCCCCCCCCCCATCTGCCTCCTGCCTCACACACCACAGTAGAAGGATTTTTCTGATGAAACACATACACACTTCTCTCATCACTAAACAACACATTTAAAAAGCACACTTTGTCTAAAAAATACTTTTGTCCTTAGAAATAGGACAGAAGATCTAGTCTCCCTAGGAATAATGACCCAATAGACTGGGGAAAATCTTGTGTCTGTAGGAATAACAACCCAACAGACTGAGGAAAATCTTGTGTCTGTAGGAATAATCACCCAATAGACTAGAGAAAATCTTGTATCTGTAGGAATAATGACCCAAAAGACTAGGGAAAATCTTGTCTCCCACCCTTTACAGGTGTGTCTCCTGTTTTAGCTGGGTAAGATCAGCTTGTCACCCCTAGGGGGAGATAGCCTCATGTTGATTAGCACGTGTTCAATTGTGACGTCATCAAAAGTGAATGACGAAATTCATGCCCCAATTGTGTTTTTGTTTACCCTACTTTCGGTGGAGTTGTGACTGAAATAATAGGATGGGAGAAAAACAATCATCCCCTACCTTGAGGGTGTGACAAAGAAATCTCCAACCCTCAGGGTGATTTTTTTGGTTGTCTAACCCTCGGCAGAGCCTCGGGTTAGACAACCAAAAAACATCACCCCTCGGGTTAGAGATTTCTCTATCACACCCTCAAGGTAGTGGAATATTCTATTAGTCTCCCTAGGAATAATGACCAAACAGACTAGAGAAAATCTTGTGTCAGTAGGAATAATTACCCAATAGACTAGGGAAAATCTTGTCTCCCTAGGAATAATGACCCAATAGACTAGGGGAAATCTTCTCTTCCTAGGAATAACGACCCAATAGACTGGGGAAAATCTTGTGTCTGAAGGAATAACGACCCAATAGACTGGGGAAAATCTTGTCTCCCTAGGAATAATGACCCAATAGACTAGAGAAAATCTTGTGTCTGTAGGAATAATGACCCAATAGATTTGGGAAAATCTTGTCTCCCTAGGAAAAATGACCCAACAGATTAGGGAAAATATTGTGTCTGAAGGAATAATGACCCAATAGACTATGGAAAATCTTGTCTCCCTAGGAAAAATGACCCGACAGACTGTATCGTATTTTGTGAGATTGGTCAGTGAGAGGGGTTTACCCGTGCTAACTTCAATCATGGCACATAACTCTCATTCTACACTTCTTTCCACTGACACTGCCTATATCAATTTCAAATGTGCAATACATGTGCAACACATTGCTCTAGTAAGAAATTAAAGGTTAATAGGTGATTATACACAGTAGCCACCACATCCGCAAAGACAGTGTTTGCATATCAAACCACATATGTCACATAACTTAGACCTTCAAACTGTTTCAATCAAACAGCTAGTCCAAATCAACAGTCGAACTTCTAAGAAAATTTTCCCATTAAATTTAAGTGCATTTTGATATCATCCATTACAAATTTAAATGTTTGAAAAGAAAAAAAACAATCTCACCACTGTAGCCTGGAATGATGCACTCCAGTTTTTCAGTTTTCACCTTCCGGCCGGAAATGCCTGTGTAGAACGCATTCAGAACTGTCAGACGTACATCAACTTTACGTTCCTCGTTCATCTTATTAATGACATTGACCTTAATCTCAATGTCATCCCCAATCATGGTTTCATTTGGAAGGTCAGCATCAAGTTCTACTTCCTGTGTTGTTTCAAGGTTGTAAATGTTATGCTTTCGTCTTGTTCCAAATCGACTGACAAATTGCATGACTTTTCGTTCTTCGGCAGACCCTAAATTGGCACAAAAAATATGTAAATGGTTAAATCCTGATACATTTATTAGGTGTTTCAGATTGAAGCGCCTGCCAATATTTACCATTTCATGACCAGAAACCGTGGGTCTTCAATAGCTCACCCAGAGTTTTATTTTCAATTTGTAGTGTATTAAAATTTGTTCTGTAGTTTAGGTTGTGTCATGTCCAAAGAATTACTTTCTACAGACAGACAAGTAGACAGGTGAGAATTCCTCTATCCCTCCCTGGGTTGAAGAAATGTATAGGCATACTTATTTCCTTGTTCAGTTTCCATGCTTGTAAACAGGCAACTTATCTTAAAATTTACAAAGAGTAACCTTGTTGATCTTACCCTCAGGGTACTTGTACAGCAGGGTGATGTCTTCCCTCTCATCAGAACCGATGGCCTTGGTACTTATCTTCCGACCAACCACATTTTTCTCTACATAAAGCACTTCCATAGTGTCATCATCATGTACCTACAACAGTCAAACAACAATGACATGTCTACAACAGTCAAACAACAAATGACATGCCTACAACAGTCAAACAACAATGACATGCCTACAACAGTCAAATAACAATGACATGCCTACAACAGTCAAATAACGATGACATGCCTACAACAGTCAAATAACAATGACATGCCTACAACAGTCAAACAACAATGACATGCATACAACAGTCGAGCAACAATGACATGCCTACAACAGTCAAACAACAATGACATGCATACAACAGTCAAGCAAAAATGATATGCCTACAACAGTCAAGCAACAATGACATGCCTACAACAGTCAAGCAACAATGACATGCCTAAAACAGTCAAATAACAATGACATGCCTACAACAGTCAAATAACAATGACATGCCTACAACAGTCCAGCAACAATGACACGCCTACAACAGTCAAATAACAATGACATGCCAACAACACAATGACATGCCTACAACAGTCAAGCAACAATGACATGCATACAACAGTCAAGCAACAATGACATGCCTACAACAGTCAAGCAACAATGCCATGCCTATAACAGTCAAATAACACTGACATGCCTACAACAGTCAAATAATAAATGACATGCCTACAACAGTCAAACAACAAATGACATGCCTACAACAGTCAAACAACAATGACATGCCTACAACAGTCAAGCAACAATGACATGCATACAACAGTCAAGCAACAATGACATACCTACAACAGTCAAGCAACAATGCCATGCCTATAACAGACAAATAACACTGACATGCCTACAACAGTCAAATAAAAAATGACATGCCTACAACAGTCAAACAACAATGGCATGCCTTCAACAGTCAAATAACAATGACATGCCTGCAACAGTCAAACAACAAATGACATGCCTACAACAGTCAAACAACAAATGTAATGCCTACAACAGTCAAATAACAATGAGATGCCTACAACAGTCAAACAACAATGACATGCCTACAACAGTCAAACAACAAATGACATGCCTACAGCAGTCAAACAACATGCCTACAACAGTCAAATAACAACGAGATGCCTACAACAGTCAAACAACACGCCTACAACAGTCAAACAACAATGGCATGACTTCAACAGTCAAATAACAATGACGTGCCTACAACAGTCAAGCAACAATGACACGCCTACAACAGCCAAATAACAATGACATGCCTACACCAGTCAAACAAAAATGGCATGCCTTCAACAGTCAAATAACAATGTCATGCCTACAACAGTCAAACAACACGCCTACAACAGTCAAACAACAATTACATGCCTACAACAGTCGAGCAAAAAATGACATGCCTACAACAGTCAAACAACAATGACATGCCTACAACAGTCGAGCAACAAATGACATGCCTACAACAGTCAAACAACATGCCTACAACAGTCAAACAACAATGACATGCCTACCACAGTCAAACAAAAAGACATGCCTACAACAGTCAAACAACAATGGCATGCCTACAACAGTCAAACAACAATGACCTGCCTACAACAGTCGAGCAACAAATGACATGCCTACAACAGTCAAACACCAATGACATGCCTACAACAGTCAAACACCAATGACATGCCTACAACAGTCAAACAACATGCCTACAACAGTCAAACAACAAATCACATGCCTACAACAGTCAAACAAAAATGACATGCCTACAACAGTCAAACACCAATGACATGCCTACAACAGTCAAACAAAAATGACATGCCTACAACAGTCAAACACCAATGACATGCCTACAACAGTCAAACAACATGCCTACAACAGTCAAATAACAATGACATGCCTACAAAAGTCAAACAACAATTACATGCCTACAACAGTCAAACAACAATTACATGCCTACAACAGTCAAACAACAATAACATGCCTACAACAGTCGAGCAACAAATGACATTCCTACAACAGTCAAACAACATGCCTACAACAGTCAAACAACAAATCACATGCCTACAACAGTCAAACAACAATGGCATGCCTACAACAGTCAAACAACAATGGCATGCCTACAACAGTCAAACAACAATGGCATGCCTACAACAGTCAAACAACAATGGCATGCCTACAACAGTCAAACAACAATGGCATGCCTACAACAGTCAAACAACAATGGCATGCCTACAACAGTCAAACAACAATGCCATGCCTACAACAGTCACACAACAATGACATGCCGACAACAGTCAAACAACAATGACATGCCTACAACAGTCAAACAACAATGAGATGCCTACAACAATCACACAACAATGACATGTCTACAACAGTTAAAAAACATAGGTTAATTTCAGGGTAATTTCAGAGCGCGCGCATACGACTCTGACCTCCCACCCCTGATGTGCTTTCCAAATTCTAGTAGGTGTGAAGAGTTTCAGGATTTCATACTTGACACTTTGATTGGTAGAATTAGAGATAGCTCTCTTAGGGTCTGGGGGAAGGTAGGGAATTGTAATCCTCCTCATCTAAAAAGTTCCTTAACTTGTGGATCAAGGACCTATCCTTTAAGTTGGACACCTTGAGAGAGCTCCCTCGTATCATAGGGGCTGACAACTTCATGACTCAGATTGACGATAAGTCAGGTTACGACCATGTTTTGCTTAAGGAGTCTAGCCAGACTTTTTTTCGGCGGCCAGTTTGTTGGGGGGGGTACCTGGTCTACACCACTTTACCCTTTGGGTTTAAGAGCAGTGCATATACAGTTGTGGGAAAGCTTAGTAAGGGAGACTTCTGGGAAAATGGGGACAGTAGGCCAATTTATGTGAAGGAGGCTGATGTCTTGGTCAAAACTCTTAGGTCAATGGAGTTGTCAAAGAGCTGTACGAGTTGACATCTGAAAACAATATTGACCTCAGGCTGACGTACATCCCCTCAGGGGATAACCCTGCGGACGATCCATCACGCTCACTATCTTTAGCAGACAGTACTTTGACGAGGGAGTCCTGGAAAAAGGTTCAGGGAAAGTTTGGGCCACACTCGAAGGATATGATGGCCCTTGACTCCAATACAATGACATCCCCTAAGTATTTCCCCCACTACAAATGATTATGCCCTTATTGGCTTGTCTGAGAAACCAGGCGGTAGGAGAGTGTACCATAGTGCTACCGGTTTTGAACCCAAAACCAGTTTGGTGGCCGGTTCTCAAAGCTCATGCAGTAGGAGCCCTACAGTTGGGGGATACTGGGGAAAAGGGGGTATTGTTGGTCACCACTAAGAAGGGCTATGTAGAGGACAAGAAGGGTCTGAGGTGGCCTCTCAACGCTTTTAGGGTAAACTTTTGATTATATTCAAGATTGAGGAAGCAATTTGGGGAGAGATGTTACAAATTGAGGAAAGGCTGAAGTATTTGGAGGGCCTGGTAAAAGACACAAAGTACGAGAAGCAGAAGAAAGCTCTAGAAATATAACTTGTGACGTTTTTACGAATGTATGGTAGGGCAGACTTAATCTCTGCTACCCCGATTTGTTTTTTCTCTTGCAATTATTTGCAGGGGATCGCGCAGGCGATTTAGGTCAAGTGGTTGCACAGGAGGTTAAAAGGCTAAGGGACAACAAAGGTTTTCTGTTAAGGCATAGGGTGGGTAAGACTCTTACATAGGGAAAGTCTAACACGTTTGGGATCGTCAGGAGGGAGGAAGCTCATATTTGTCCGGTAAAGGCCCTGGAGGTGTATGTGGCACAGTCAGGGTATATGGGGGTAGACCTTTCAGTGGGTAAAGGCCCTGGAGGTGTATGTGGCACAGTCAGGGTATATGGGGGGTAGACCTTTCAGGGGGTTACCTGTTCCGACCAGTGGACGGTTCTAGGAGGGCGGTATTACATGAGCCCCTATCATATTCGGTAGCGTATGAAAGACTGAAGCACTATCTGGGTGTGCTGGGTTTGGACAAGGGGGAGACTCCTCACAGCCTTAGTAGGGGGTGCGCGGTATCACTAAGCTTGACTGGATCGGCTTCAAAGGCAGAAGTCATGGGCCATGTAGGTTGGTTCACTGGTAACAGTGTTGACAGATATAGCGAGGTACCAAATATCCTGGATACAAGCACTATGTCATCCTTGTTTTCGAGGGTAACAGATGCGGAAAATCTGTATAACTCTGTGGGAACCTCTAGAAATCTCCCGAATGCCTTTTAGAACCGAGGTATGCTACAGGTTACTGGTACGTGGAATGTAAACCAGGGATACGGGAACATGCATTGGTGTGAGAATGTGTACAGCAATGGAATGTTAGGATAGACAGAGTGATGGGATCGTAAATGGAGTTTTGGTGTGGAATGTGATGTGGGAGAGTCGTAATTCATGCCTGGGATGTTTTTTCACATGTATTGGTGCTATAATTAGGAGGAAACTAGAACACTGACTGGTCAGTAAGGGCCCCGTCTTGTGGCAATATATCCCCCATAATCATCAAGAAGCAATCTGCCCATATATCTGAGCTTGACGTTTGATATTTGGACTTCAAAAAGAATCGCAAGGAAGCAAAATATACATTTTACATGTACTATGATGCAAGTCTTGTTTCCTTCCACCTCCATATTTGCTGGGCTAACAGAAATGTAAATACCGGTGCAATACTCATTTGTTAGCTTTGAATTGTTTTATTTCACCTTATATACCTCCTCCATCAAGAGCCAGGGTCAAAGTCAGAGATCCACTTTGTTTTTGACCTATGGACCCAAATGACCTTGACCATTAACCCAGTGACCCTGATCTTTGGTCAGTTGACTTATTCTTTAATTCCGACCAACTTTGCTTCTTAATATCACAACAAAATGTTCATCAGTGAAAAATACAAAACTTGACCTTGACCCTTTGCACCCCGTAACCTGGACATAAGGTCAGTTGACTCTGTGTTAAGTTCTGAACAACATTGCTTCATAAAGTGAAAAGATTAAAAACAAGAGATCCCAGAGGGATCTTGGCACCCACCTTTGAACCATCTTCATTAGTTCTTTGTCAGTTCGATCTTTTCTCTTCTTTCCTCTTATCTGTTTGATCGAGTCATGCTAACAGTAAATGCACTTTGAGGTAACTTTTGATCTAAACTTAATACTGATGTGTATGAAAGCCAACCTTCAAAGTGAGTTTGTCATTTCACATATTTACTAGTACAGTACTTAATGTGCAATATGAGAAAGATCTGTTTAGTTCTTCTTTTAATCCATTTTGTTTTTATGATCAGTCTCAAAATATAACATACACAACGAAGGATCAAGAGGAACCTACATTTAAAATTTGAGACAGATCCCTCCCATACTTCCCGAGAAATAGCGATAACAAACTTTCACTATCAAAATCCAAGATGGCTGCCTGTCGGCCATGTTGTTTATCCGATCAGTCTCTAAAA